TATATATATATATATATATATATATATATATATATATAGTACAAATACATCACAAAAACATATATGTGTAATATACCATCTCTATCATTTTACATGGTGTAAAATAGAGATAAATATACTTGGATAAATATATAAATGAAATATATCTGTAAAACTAATGGCTTAAATTGATTTTGGTTTTCCATGTACAGTAAGATATTTTCATTTTTTAAAAATAACACAACTGATCAAAATTCCAAGGTGCCTGAATACATGTTGACTTCTAAAACAATCTTAGCAAAAGGACAATTCTGTAAAACATGTTTTAAATCTCAGTACTTAATTTCTCTGTAAGAATGTTTTTAAGGAAAAACAACTTAGTTTGGCCCTATTAAAGGCTGGCATTCATTTTGGAATGCAGTTGTATAAATATTTATACTTATGCTAATATAAACTAAACCACCAAACGTGATCTTCAAATCCAGTTTTAGAAAAAAATAACTTGTAAGCATTTGAGTATGCAATTCTCTTCACACTGGTTGAAAAAGAAAATTTTATAACTTCTGTTCCTCATCGTGCACTTGCAAATTTGCAGAATTAAATTATTTACAAGTCTTCCTGAATTAAACGTAGTAGAGGGATCAACTAGATAAAGTGTTGGAAAGGAACTGTGCTTACCTCTCTAGTCACAAAGCATTCAATTGGGTACGTTGAAATGACAGTAACTCCATAACAGAACCTTCCAAATGTGACCAGGTCATCGTTTCTGCAATAGTTTTCGAATAAGTCTCCTAGAGAATAATATAAAATAGATTTATTTCAACTGAATATTTGAGATAAACACCTAACAAATCAGATAATGGGTATTTATCATGTAAGTCAAGCTGCAGAAACTTCATTTAATCAATGGAACAGACTGCCAAGTCTAAATATAGCGTGGTTGCATTCGATAACTCTATAATTATTGACTGATATTAAAACTAGTACCTGTGCCAACTTGAAGATGATTTTATAACTAGTAGTTTTTCCCTTACTCTCATTGTTTGTTTTTAGTAGATGTGCCTTAAATTTGTATCAACATCTGAAAAATACTTTTATCCATTGTCTTCTGACACCTGAATCAACTCCCTAAATTCTTGTACACTGGTTTTATAAACTTGCTTCTGGTCTTTGTTTCTGGTAAATAAGTGACTTCGTTATTAAAAAAAAAAAAAAAGTATGTTAAAATAAACAAATTTCCTTTTGAAATGTTATTCTTAGATCAAGGGCAATCCTGAAAGGAAGAGTAGACCAGTACATCTGGGGAGCTGAATTTCCTGTAGACCACGCTATAGGGTTCAATCACAAACCCCCTGTCACAGCAAGAATTTACCTTTCATGGTATCGGATCACCCTTGGTGTAAGAGCACTGATTTAAAAGTGTGGAAATATGGTTATTTCTGAGGAAAAGCATTATATCTAATTAGTTCCACACTAAACAATGGACCATGTACACCTTGAACCAATTCTTTTTTTTAAATTTTTTTAATGTTTATATATTTTGAGAGAGACAGAGAGAGACAGAGAGAGAGAGAGACAGACAGCATGCACACGGGGGAGGGGCAGAGAGAGAGGGAGACACAGACGGAGCTGTCAGCACAGAGCCCAACACGGGGCTTGAACTCACGAACCGTGAGATGGTGACCTGAGCAGAAGTTGGACGCTTTAGCTGACTGAACCACCCAGGCGCCCCGGACCAATTCCTATTTCGACACTGTCTTTTCTCAGACATCTATGAAGAAATGGAGGGATCTAACGAGGGCCCAGAAGTCATGGCAGCAAAAGGCTTCCCAGAACTGAAACAAACAATATTTGGGCCTGTTCATTTCCTAAATATAACATGCTTACATTTTAAAATTTTGGTCACGTTTTCCAATTAGACTGAACAGGATATCAGATCAAAGTCACACACTACCATACTGTTTAAAAAGAAAACAAAACTGTATTTCTGTCCTTTTTTTTTTTCTTTAAAAAGCTAAATGACTTGGCTCTGCCAAGACTCTAATGACTCTTCTCCCCTCCTCCTGTCAATTAGAACAAATGCACATTCCTGTCTAGTGTCCCTTAGGGCAGAAGGGATTAAACCACAGAGCAGTCGTGGCAGAGGCCTGTTTCAAGGTTGACTGAAAAGGTTCCACCATTCTGAGAAAGAGGACTAAAAGTCCCTGTTCACTAATCTTCTCTACAAAATGGGCCCTGCCCCTTTTCAAAAGTGCCTAGAACGTCAAGAGCAACCTGCAGTCCTTAGTGCCTCACAAGCTGAAATTTATCTACTAAGAGGGAAAAGAAAGGAAGCACGCAGCGTGCACAGATAAGACCAGATTTGCCTAAAATGAAACAGCCTGAAGGAACAGTGTCAGCTTATTCCAGCTTGAGTCTAAGTGTATTTTCGGGAATTATAGCTAGGTTAAAAAAACACAAAAACCCAAACCCAAACCAACCTGTCAATATTGTTATATAAAGATTTAATTATATCTAAGCAATTACCACTGATAACAACATTAGGAAGGTGTGACTAAGATAAAGGATTTATGTCTTACAGAGAAGGCATTTAAAAACCAAGGTTTTGTACAGACTGGAGCCTACAGGCCATTCACCTTGGCAAATGATACAGCAACAGTGATATATGGCAATGTTTTGAAACACAATTTTTATCAGGATGTTCACGATCACTTTGTTACTGCACTCTAATGGCATATGCCTGTATTATATTTTTGATGGCACTGGAATTATACTAACCACTTTGTTTTGAAGGCATTTTTACTTTTTTTCATTATTTGAAAAATGCCCACCTATCATCATAGTCACCAGTAACCTCTATTTGAAACAATGACCACTCACTCAAGACTACCTAGTGTCATCTGACAACTAAGGGAAGAGGGTCTGGAGGATAAGAGACAGCTTTTAATGGGTCACACTTGACCAAAATGGGGTAGACAGCAAGAGAGAATGGAAAGAAAATTGGACTGGGAGTCAGGAAACTTGTTTTCTACTTTGTCACCATCCAGCTTGGGCAAGTTCCTTCACCTCTTTGTGTTCTAAGCAGGGGGTAAAACTAGTTATTCCACTTACCTTCATAGGGTTGTTTCAAGGTCAAATGAGATAATAGACCTGCAAAAGCTGTGACATGTTTGAATCACAGCATTTAGCGGGCTGTCAGATTACCCTGGATATTACACTACACGGAGGGGTGAATGCACAGGTCAAAGGAAGCAGGAGAGAGAGCCATCCGGTTGTTGGGCCTGGGTGAACAGGCAAAAGAGAAGTAAATTCGGTGTGGAGTGGTGCCCTGAGGGAGGAGGGAAGGAGGGGAGGGGCTGGTTTTGTGTGAAAGATGATGTTCTGTGTTTAAGGTAAGAACAGGACAACTAAATAGGTAGGTCCTGCAGGCAAGAGACTGGAAATGAAAGGATAGGTCTGGACTAGAGTTTAAAACAAGGGCAATCTCCAGAGAATTTGTTCAGAGAAAAGAAGGCAACTTGCCTGAGCCAGTTAATGGAGGGGGTGGGTGGGGGGAGAAGGGGAAAGAAGGTAGGAAAAAGCAGAGAGCAATCACTCCGGGAGTAAAAAAAAATATGAACAGAGTGAATGATGATATGATGGTGCTCCTTCTCCTATGGGAGAAAAGACAGGATGTTCAGAACCGTTAAGTGACTCACAGAGGTGCATGAGAATCAGAACCAAGAAGATTATTCACTTTGAAGAGCAGAAAGATACTGATATTGCTGAAAGTGAAGCTGCAGGGGGTAGTGGGGAGGGAAGCCAGAATTCAAGTGCTTTTAAGTGAAAGCATGGAAGAAGAGAGAGAATGAACTACAGAAATAAGTTTAGCAGTTTAAAAGGGAGAGAATCACAAAACAGAAACAGTAGAGGCAGGAAGGTTGAGGAGAGAATGGGCAGAAGAGATTAGTGATACTTCGGAGTAGAACATTAGGTATAATTGTACCCAAAATGAGAAGTGACAGAACCACTCCATGTGAATAGCAAAATATGATGAGACTGAATCTCTCATTTTACCTTGGGTGTAGCCAGTAAATGTCAAGTATCCACATGTAGAAAAGAGAATACTGATCAATACAGAAGCCAAGGTGGAGACGTGGATGATGCGGGACCACTTAGCTACTGTGGGATCTTCCAAAGAACCATAAACTAAGAAGCAGTTATGGTGGCAAATAAATGCTGCAAAACAAAACAAACAAAACAAAATGAGCGTCATTGAAACAAACACTAAGGTTCTCTTTTTCTTCTGAAAATTCGGAGATGTATATGGTTTTGGAATGCTACTGAAGTTCAAATACATTAATTTACTAGCTATGTCAGAAAATAACTTTCTAACGGCTTTAGGAATGAGAAATTTCACTCACATTAGGCTTATGTAGTCTCTTCATGTCACTCTTGTTATAAACCAGGCCTATCCAACTTTTCTCTACTATTTTCCATTTCCTACTGGCCTTCCAGTTTTACGGGAAATCTAAACAACACTATATTTCCAGTCCATGGCTTCTTTTCCAATCTGGGATATAACAGAGTAGCTTTAGACATCTGGCCAATTTGTAATACTTTGTGTGCAAGGTTTTGAAGAAGCACATAACAACACTTGCTCGATTTTCAAGTTAAGAAACAAGATGACTTTAATGAGTTGTCTGCATGAGGAAGAGACTTGTCCAAATTAAATCAAACTTTAGTGATGAGTGAGAAAAGTTTGAGCCTAATTTTATGTTGGCACAAACTAGATCATATGCTGCTAATAGGAAGTCTAAAACTTAGGACATCTGCTCTCCAGACACAAATACGAAACGTTTTTTTCATTATACAGAAGCCTCCATATTGAGAAAGGGCCTTTGAAACCATATACTCACCAAACGACATAACACCAACAGCCTGAATGGCGTTGGGCTTTGCAAATACCCAGGCATCTTCTGTTTTTGGTCTAGAAGATAAATCAGGTATTTAATGAATGATCAAACAAACACAAGCCTAAGCATATCAGAGAACACAAAATGCTGTCACAATAAAAACTGAGTCAGAAATTAATAAGGGGCTCCCATTAATCTTCCTTAATTGTGAATAATTTCTCAGGAACATGAATGTAATGGTAACCTTGGTCCTCTAAAATGCATGTCAAATGCTTGAAAAGACTGTACATACATAAAATATCCACTGACTACTTAATTTTGTGACTTTATTTAGTCATCAACTTAACAAGATACATTGGTTATGCACTCATCATTTAAGATACTCACTGAGGGAAATACAAAAATTCATAATGCAATGTTCTTCCTCAGTTAATGAATACTTCCCTTCATTCCCCTTTAACTCATTCTCCAGGCTCATCCTACCCAAGGGAAATCCATAGTTGGCAGTACAGTTTACTCAAGAAGGTGGACATGAATTAATATTAATTGAGGATGTACTTAACTGTATTCTGGGAGCTATCCTATGATATCTCAATCTTCATAATAACACTCAAGAGTTACTGTCACCATTTAATACATTAGGAAAGTTAAGCTCTGGGTGGTGGTGTAACTTGTCAAGCTTCCACAGATAGTAAGTGAAGAAGTTGAGATTTGCTGCCCATCGCTTTCATAGTGAACTGTCAGTGGCCTCAAATTCTTACCTGTGGAAGTACTTCTCAAAGACGTTTTGGAATATATGAACTTTAAATTGCCCTATTCCTTAGCGTAATTAAAATATTTGTCAGTCTGTCTATTGGTAGAGATTGGTCTCCTGGTTAACATATCCCCGAATAATGGTGAAGAGCCTAGGTTCCAAGGTCAGATAGCTGGTATTAGTCTTCTAGCCACTTCTACCTATTAGTTGGGTGACCCTAGGCAAGTTATTAACCTTTCTGCATTTCAGCTTTGATATCTATAAAATGTGGATAATAATAGTAGTAACTACTCCATTGAATGATTGTGTGAACTAAATGAGATAAAATATGTAAGTCTTCTGGAAGAGAGCCTTACATATAATGTGTTCAATAAGTGGTCACTAATATTATCAGCTTATTATTATTGTAATTCATTGTCATTTAATAAAATGTAGGGAAATGTTAAAAGATGTCCGGCTTCCCTGAAAAAGGAAAGGCTTGAGTGAAACCCAAAAGAATACACTAGGACAGAAGAGGGGAAGAGAGGAAGGAGGGTCATAGAAAGCATAAAGGCAATAGCTGTACACCCACCTAATTCATAAATTTGTTATTCATTCTCTGTGTAAAATAGGCACACAAAAAAGTCTCATTTGCTTTGTCAAAGTTAGTGGGATTTCTGCATTATATCGATTTCCCCCCATATTTGAAATGAGCAGTTACACAAAAGAACTAGCTAGCCTACAAGGGAGGCCTCAGGCTGTTACATGGCTTGCCGTGATTCCCAGTTTTTTGAGTGGGAGCTGCTGCCACCTGCTGCCTCCACTGTTCTTACTGCAGTGAACATCGACTGGGAACAGAGTACCTGTCAAATTCCAACGTTAACATGGAAAAATACATAGTTTGTCCATGGTCTTTAAAAAACAATGTAGAAAAGCAGCACTAAAAATTACAGAAACTTGGGGGTGCCTGGGTGGCTCAGTTGGTTAAGCGTCCGACTTCAGTTCAGGTCATGATCTCGCGGCTCGTGAGTTGGAGTCGGGCTCTGTGCTGACAGCTTGGAGCCTGGAGCCTGCTTCGGATTCTGGGTCTCCCTCCCTCTGCCCCTTCCCTGCTCATGCTCTGTCTCTCTATCTCTCTCAAAAATACATAAACAATAAAAATTTTTAAAACCAACAAAAATTACAGAAACTTGGAAGATTTTAAACTTTTTAATAGGTTGTAAAATATCTACTTTCTCTTGCTGTATTTGCACATGGATAATACAACTCATTTTTCCCTTCAGTACAGATTATGGTACTGTTCTACTTTTTATTTCTTTTATTGGTAATAAAAAGGTAGGAGTTTGATTTTCATTCTTCTTCCTCCACTTAAGTTTTTAAAATCTTTCCTGGTCCATATGTTTCATTGAATATATTCTTAGATAAGATGGAGTGTGAAACAGTACAAAGAGACAATTTTGATTTTTTTGTATTCAGCTTAGTGATGTTGATTTCATAAGATGAAAAATACCAAAAAAAGATGTTACTGATAGAATGCATGTGTGTCCAAATCTAGGTAAAGAGAAAGAAAGAGGCATTAAATATAGCTTTCCAATCTTTTATAAAAGAGTCTGAAATTAGTTCCAGAATCAACCAGCTATAGACACATGTACGTGCAAGTGAGAGGCAGGGAGAGGGAGAGAAAGTTTCTCAGTATATTTTGAGATTTCTGAAAACTTGATACCCATCGTGATTGAGAAAATGAAGTTATAAACTGTTCTGATTTTAGACTAGAGATGCTGAAATACAAAATGAAATATTATCAAATGTAACAAGCAATGTATAAGAAAAAATCCTGAATAGGCAGAGTTTTTCAAATAAATGCAAGGGTTGTTCAATAACAAAAATCTATTAATGTAATTCATCTCATCAACAGATTAATGGAAGAAGAAAGCTTATGAGCATTTCAGAATCTGTAGAAAAGCCTACAATCCAGTATTTCATTTGAAAAATATGCTAAGCAAACTATTAATAAAATGGAACCTCCTTAACCTGATAGGAATACCTACCAAAATCTATAGCAAATGACACACTTAAAAGTGAAAATTTAGAAATATTATAATTAAAGGTGAAAACCAAGTAAAGATCTTTACTATCACTGCCTCTGGACTATATTCCTAGAATTTCTAGCTAATGCAATAAAACAAGAAGTCATAAGATATGTAATCATTGGAAACGGATAAATTATTTGTACCCAATAGAATTGTGTACACAGAAAACTCAGGGGAATTTACTGACAACCTGTTGAAATTAATAAGAGTATTCAGCAAGGTCACTGGATATAGGCTTGATACACGAAAATCAATAGGGTTGATGTACATAAATAAGCAAGTAAAATATTTTTTTTTTTTTTTAATTTTTTTTTTTTTTTTAATTTTTTTTTTTTTTTTTCAACGTTTATTTATTTTTGGGACAGTGAGAGACAGAGCATGAACGGGGGAGGGGCAGAGAGAGAGGGAGACACAGAATCGGAAACAGGCTCCAGGCTCTGAGCCATCAGCCCAGAGCCTGACGCGGGGCTCGAACTCCCGGACCGCGAGATCGTGACCTGGTTGAAGTCGGACGCTTAACCGACTGCGCCACCCAGGCGCCCCTAAAATATTTTTTAAAAGGCAGTGTCAATAAAAACACTACATATTTTAGAAGATATGCATAACCTTAATGGCATGACATAATTTTAAGGAAAGATACAAATCAATGGAGAGATGTACTGTATCCATATATACGAATAAGAGGACTCAATATCATGTAGATGTCAGTTCTCCCCCAAATTAATATTTAAATTTAAAGAATAAAATATGATATTCAAGGAGGAAATAATTTTTTAAAAAACCCATAAAAGCAACGTAAAGATTGGTAAACATGAGAATGTTTGTATAATAAAATAATCCATATACAAAGTTAAAATATAAAGATAAGCTAAACACTTGGAAACAAGATTTGTTGTGTATATAAGACATTCCAATAAGCAATGAACAACAGTCAATTGACAGAAAAGAAAATGAGAATAATTATGCTACAAGTTGCTCACTTTCCTTAATAATCAAAGAAACAAATAAAATCCATACAAACAGGCATTTCACACTTAATTCAACCATAGAAATGTTGATAAATTGCTGGGAAAGGACAACTTGCAATTATTATGGAGAGAACTGTAAATTGTAAAACACTTTGGAGAAGAGTTTGATAATATCTAGTAAAGCTGAAGGCACTCAAAACTTGTGAGCAAACAATTACATTTCTACATATATGACCTAGGCTAGGAAAGTGCACACATGCACACACACAAAAATATGGATAAGGATGTTCACTACTACGTTGTTTATATTACCCAAACTTTGGAAACTCTCTCAATTTCAAGCAATAAAATTGATAAATAAATCCATAACTAAAATATGACATAAACAAAATTGTGTGCTATAAGAACAATGAAAAAGAGTCACTCAGTACTAACTGTATCAAAATGGAAATATATGAAAAATAATACTGAAGGAAAAATCATGAATTATAGAAGAGAATGTGCAATATTTTTACCATAGTGGTTATTTTAAAAAAAAATGTTTTTTAACGTTTATTTATTTTTGAGACAAAGAGAGACAGAGCATGAATGGGGGAGGGTCAGAGAGAGGGAGACACAGAATCTGAAACAGGCTCCAGGCTCTGAGCTGTCAGCACACAGCCCGACATGGGGCTCGAACTCACGGACCGCGAGGTCATGACCTGAGCCGAAGTCGGACGCTTAACCGACTGAGCCACCCAGGGGCCCCTACCATAGTGGTTATTTATATATATATTTTACAAACATACTAATCAATACTAGATATTATTGTCAATACATAAATGCATAGTAAAGTATAAAAGCATAAACAGGAATGATTTAAACCAACTTAAGAATAATAGCTATCTCTAGAGAAAGAGAAATGAATTGACTTTTAAATATGATAGTCTATTGCTGGCAAATATTGGCAATAAATATAGAAAATTATTTCAAAAGAATCTAGCCCAATTTCCTGCTTCCCAAACTTTGTATGATTATACAATATTTACTGCATAAAACCTTTCTGGATCTGAACCTAATTTTTAACCATAAATTTCCACAAATATTCTACAACTGAAACTACATTCTTCCTGTTTTCCAGTCACTCATTCAATTCATTCAATTTTCAACAAGTATTTATTGGCCACTACCTAGGTAGCAATTACTGTTTTAAATTGCTGGGGATCGTGCAGAAAAAAAAAAAAAAAAGATGAAAGAAGTCATCTTGGTCTATATTCTATATCACAATTTAGAACAGCACTATA